ATTACAGTATTTCCGGTCATTTGAATGCAAACCAAACTTTGAATGAATTTCTGTCCAAAACTGATATCAATAAAAGACCTGAAAATGAACTCAAAGCTAATGACGGACTCATTATTACGGAAGCGATTGGAAGTCTCGGAGCGACAGTTGTTTTGGTCAGAAGTGGCCAAAAGTCAGTCAAAATAAGTAATGTCTACGGCTTTGGTGCGGGCGCTGTGGCCAACATTAATGGCGGTAAAAATGGCCGCAAAAATGTGGACGAAAAACAAGAAGTGAAGACAATTACCGAACCTTTATATGAGAAATGTATGCAAAACTTAATTAAGTTTTAAAACTTTGTTACTAATAATTTTGTATTTAATCAGATATGAAATCTTTGGATTCAAAGGATTCTTCTAATGGTCTATTGATTTTAGCCGAAGGACTGAACGCTGGGGAGGCTGTGATCGCCACCCGTGAGGGTTGGCTCGACGTTAAGGGCGCCTCCGGTTTCAGACTGGGATCCTATACTGAGATCTCTACTCGCGGTTAAATGGTTAATACTGTATTGTCATAAAAAGATAATGTTTTTATATTATAAATAATTGCCACTTGTATTTATATTTATTAATACAATTTAATAAAGTCAAATTTAATTTATCAATATGTTTAATTTAATTCAATGTTCAAAATAACAAAGGTATATTTTATGTTACATTAACTTACATTTAATGTGTTGTAATTATATAAAAATATATAATTTATGCCTAAACTACCCATGCTAATATCTAAAAATAAGGCAATTTTTCTTTATCAACAAAACTAAATAAATGACATAAACAATAAATAATTACTGTTTAATATAGTTATCGAACATTAGTTTATCATACATCATTATACCATAACTGAAAGCATATGTGTTTAAACTGATCATGTTTATATTATTTCTATTGTCAAGGTACGCCACTATGTTAAATAGATTTACAAATATAATTAATACATGTTTGTTAACACATGGTTGTTTTAAAATTTAATAATTATATTAACTTTTCCGACAAAACCGGTGGCCATTCGACACATTTAATGCCATTTGTTTTAATAAGATTTAAAATTGCAAAGATATGCAAAGTGTGGATCAGCTGCGTATTGAAATATTGTATTGAAATAATTAACCATAACTGCGTCCAAAAATACCTTAAGCGATAAGAAATGAAAACCAAATGCCAATAACCGTTGATTACATACTGTATGATACACTGTTTGTGAAATTGCATAATAGTTGCAAAGCGTACAAATCATAGCTTATGGCTCTGATTGTAAACCCAATTGTTGTCAACAAACAGAATATTCTAATAATTAATACACAGAATATTCTATGTTTTCTTATAAGAAGTTTCTCATAATAATCATCGCTCGGAGGATATATCAAAAGATAGTTCTCTCGTAAAAACCGGTCAATACTATTGATTGCTTTATTGGTTTCACTTGTGTTTGATTTACAAATTTTAATTTTAGTTTTAATTTTTACTTATGTACAAATTATAAATGCTGTAATACCTACAGTGTAGTTATTTAATATGATAATAAAATAATGCCTTCTGTTAATTAACATTTATAACAAAATATATTTTTTAGATTTTTAGATCCCGGCCTTCGAGTGTTGACTTCATTTCCAAGTGTTTGTCGATTATTATATTAATTGGTTTAATATTAAAATAATTAAAATGTTTTGATTTTGCTTTTAAAAACTTTTATTAATTAAAATTATAATAAATTATTATTAATTTGTGGCAAATATTGATTTAGAAATGCTTGGGATTTGTGTTATAATTAGTTTTAACCTCTGGTAGAGATCTCAGTATAGGATCCGAGTTTAAAACCGGAGGCGCCCTTAACGTCGAGGTGACCCTCACGGGTGGCGATCACAGCCTCCCCAGCGTTTCCGCCTTCGGCTAAAACCAATAGACCGGCCGAAGAGTCCTTCGTTGACAACGAATTCATATCTAATTGAATACAATATTGTTAATTAAAAAGTTTTAAAAGTATGATTGAGTTTTGCATACATTTCTCATATAAAGGTTCGGTAATTGTCTTCACTTCTTGTTTTTCGTCCACATTTTTGCGGCCATTTTTACCGCCATTAATGTCGGCCACAGCGCCCGCACCCAAGCCGTAGACATTGCTAATCGTCAAAGACTTTTTGCCAGAA